CTATTGATGGATTATTTATATATTTATAGCCAAGCACTGGCTTATAATAGTTAAAATATATTGACTTGAAAGTGACTTGTAAATTCTTATTTTGGTACGTAGATTTTATTTCTATACTAAAAGTATTCGGACAAAAGGAAAAAGGTTCATGAAGGAACAGGAAATGAAACAACTGGTTATTGTTTGAACAATGTCCATATTATATTTATTACCACATACACACGGCACGATGTGAACCTTGTCTTAAATCATTGTATTATATTAGGTATATGTACATTGCACAATGTGTATACATACATCGCCATACACGCGCGCCTCGAAAGGCTGTATGATTAAATATCTCATAGTATTATGTACGTTATAATAATGTAATATTCCAATAAGTTAAAGTGCACTGGTGCACGGAATCGGGGCGGCGGGCACACCCACCGCTTTTTTACAAAATGTTTGATATTATCATTATTTTAATAAAGAGATGCCGTAAAAACTAATTTATCATCATTACGATTTTTATCCATATTGTATACAGATTCATGTAACATATTATACACGAAGAAATGACGAAAATAATGCGCCGACACCGCGACGTACCTTGTCGCGGATCGTTCGCCTATCGTTATATCCAATCTCTAGTATTTTAAATGTACATGACACCAAATTCGAACGTATATAAATCCAAATTTACTTTAATGTAAAATCTTAGGTAATTGATTTTTATTGCTATAGAAAATCAGTCAGCACGCGAAGCACGTAATCGAGAAGTAACCGCGAGAACGAAACCAAGCGGGCAGCGTTGCGCGGGGCGGAAGGGATGCCGAGCGGGGATGCCCAGGCGACGGCGGCGGCGTGACGTCACTCACCACGCCTCCGTCGCCTCAGCCCGCAGTGAAATTCTCAAACGTTATTCTCACAGACACGCTCTGATGCTGTAATGATAACAACCGATCGGTTGGGGTCGGTTCGTGTGGAGCCAATGCGCGTCCGGTTCTACGCGAATAAGTATACCTTTGGTCCTTGAAACATTTAGTTGGCCATCGCCGAGTATGCAAAACTACTTGATCTAAGCCGCCATGGCGACTCTACGAACTTTACCAGTCTGTCGCTTTATTAGATTAAAATTAATTATTATCTTTAATAACGATATAAAGTCGATCAAGTGTAAATTAATGTAGAACGTCAATATACAAAATATAATAAATTATCTTTTTTTCCTCCACATTATTTATAGATGGATATAATGTGATACGTTGCAATATAAGGATTAATAAACAAATTTTAAAATAAATTTGAGATCTTTCTTATATTACGTAGTCTTTATTTGGATATAGAACACATTTCTAAATAAGATGACTGAAATTAACCAACTAATGCGTATACGGACAAACGCTATGCGTGCCGATCACGCTTCTACAACCTACCTCTGACACGGGCCATATGATAAAACCAAAATCAAATACAGTTAACAATATCAACTTCAGATTATTCTGAAAGTAATTCATAATGTTTAAAAATGTATATTTTTGTGATATAACAACTTCACATATTATTAAGAACAAGAAAAACCTCAATAAAGAAAAATTTTACACAAAATTGTTATAAAACTTAGTAGAATTATTATGAACAACTTATTTAAGACAGAAATTTTGATTAAGAGACAGACTTTGAAAAATGACCCGTGTTTCGAGCTCTAAAGGTGATAATAACGATACAACCTCACAAACCGTATTAACTAATCATAACAACAACAATGAAATCAATACTTTCATCAATCTAATCCTGATTGTAGCTCGAATGAGTCTAATAATATCGAATAGATGGTACCGACTAAAACGTCTTTTTACACTTGCGGCTAACTATTATGTACAATAGTAATTGTCATTGTATCCTCTCGGTGCAATCGCGGCGAACCGATGGCTTCTCACGAACGCGGCGAAATGAACGTCTCTCACTATATAATGTATGTATGTTTGTTTGTTTGTACTCGTACTCGCACGGGGATAAGCGGCCGTGTACGCTTCTCCTACTTTAAAAAGGTCTGTAAGAAAATATAATTATAGTGAGGATGTGAGAGTGAATGAAACAGCCGACGGCGGTGCGATGCGCCCGCGCCGCCCCGCCGCCGGCCTAGGCCTAACAATTATAACATTTCATCGTAATAATTAAATATTCTAAGAAAAAATGTCTTAAATACCTATAACACCGTAAATATAAAACAAATAATTACGTTAATTTGTTAGGTATGATATCGATTTACCGTCCGTCTTATAATAGACTCACACCTTACGATTTCATTATCAATTTCCTAGCTAACGTTAACAACATAATCGCGGACGCGTCTCTTGCGGTGTGTGCGGCGGAGTGTGTGAGCTCGCTGCCGTCTGCTGCGGTTCTCAATGAGAGTTGCGTGAAGCGACTCTAGTGTAACGTGATGTAGAGGCGACGTGAGTACGGTGTGAAAAATGCGCGGAAACGGCACGAGCCGCACACGTGACGTCATTTTAGCGAACGATCTCTCGGCACGAAGAAACAAAAAACGCGAAGCTAGCGCGCCGTCCGGTGACGAACGCGCTCCATCTATACCACAATTATTCAATTAACTACATACTCATAAGTAATAAATTACCTTTAAAAAGAATATTGATTTATTTCGTATCATTTTCAATATTTTTTTTTTGTAACAGGAAACATTTATATTTATAACGTATTTATATAATAATAGCATTTAAAAGATTGTTCATTATTATTACCTAAATTTTAATACCTAGATTTATAATATTAATGTTTAATTGATGTAGGTAATGAGTAATAATAGTAAGTAACGAATGATTGCAACCGAGTGCACGTGTGTAGCAAGCGGACCGTGGGCGCACGGCCACCTAACAGCTGCAAACTAGACAAAGTGGTCTTCAAAAATGTCTCCAGTACCTAACGAATATGATTAATGAATTGACTTTATAATTTATTCTATTACCTCGAACCTGCGCTTTTGGCTGTATTTTTTTTTTTAATATCCCTGTGTTAGTTTATTGAAATGTTTGCTTCAGGTAACTACACCTCCGTACCTGTACGAAAATTTTACTGGTAATTATTATTTTGATTAAAACTTTAAATACGACTAAGTACGGTGTAACTTCGCGATTCAAATGGAGCCGCGCATTTTTTTTAACAGTGGTCTTACATTAAGGTAAATACAATCGTAAGAAACAATGAAATATTATTTACGTAATGCACAAAATTGTTATTTATTATAATAATTACAATACCTACTTCAAAGGTACAAGATAGAAACGAATTATCTTAACGCGATGAGAGATATTCTGAAATGTTTTGACTTAGCTTTCCAAACATCCTTATGAATGGTAAATATGATCATATTATCCTTAGGATAAAAATTTTATATCATAATACATATTATTATTAGAAAGTATGTATACGCGTTACTAATATAGTCTTACGAAATAAATTGAAAATCTTGCTATAGAAACAGAATGAAATTCAAAGAAGTGATTTTATACAATTCGAATTAGGCGAAAAATAATGACATTAATAGATAAAATATGCTCAATATGCAGTAGTATAGTAATTAAGTTAATATTTGACATTAATATTAAAAATAGATAGAATAAAATATGTGGTGGTGGACGAGCGAAGAGAAACGCGGCGGACGCGGCGGACGCGCATATTGCGAGCTGCGTTGTTATTGTCTGCGTTCCAGCAAACAAGTCGCCGTCACGTAGTCGTCGCGTCGCTGTCGCGTGGTCGCCGCGTCGTTGTCGCAGGCGCACGGCCGCACGGCCACACCGGCTCTACCAAACCTATACCGCTACCGACAAACTCAACTCTGTACACGCGGACCATGAGGGAGGAATTCAAGCTTATTGCCATTAAAACCGAATCTTTATTTATTCTGACAAGCATCTTATTAATAAAAATCTTAATAGCGAACCAGGCGGTGAATATGTATTTCACACACCAAAAATTGTTTAACTAACGAAGGTAAGACTCGCAATCCAATGCGGACATGTAAGGTACATCTTACACTGTATTTAACTATGAATAATAAAATATTTATTGAGATATACCTCCCTGCAATAAACTCCACTAGATGATTTAATAATTTGATTATGAAATGTATTTTTTTTTGTAGTTTATAATATATTATTCTGAAAACACATCTACGGTACAGTAGAAAGCGAGAATAATTTGAAATAAATAATTAATAGACTATCTCTGTCACACGACAAAAAGTAGAATACCGTTATTTACAATAGAGTCGGTATTTCACCATCTGAAAGGAAGGAAAGGGGTGGAAACGGGAGTCAATAGGGAAAGGGTACAGTGTGAGATTGAGATGCCGCGGTCGACGGATCGGTCCGCGCGGAGGCCGGACGGATTAGACGACCGTCGCCGATGCGGCGTAAAGCCGCACAGGCAGCGCAGCAACTGAGCGGCGACTGAAGAGCGGCTTTGCGGCGACTGAAGAGCGGCTTTGCGGCGACTGCGCAGTGACTTTGCGATGGCTGCATGGTGGCTGCGCGGCGACTGTAGCAGGTGACCGCTGGTGAGTAGCGGACGTTGCTTGTAAGTGATGTCTCCGCAATGCAGTGCAGTAATTGCACGATAGATGCATTTATGCTGAACAAGGACTGGACTGTTTTGCGGTGATTGACGGTGCCAACGCTCGCTACGCGTCGCCGTGCCGCTCGCCACCTGTTTTGCAGATTTTATTTATACTATTTTTATATATAAAGCAAATTTTACTTAATCAACGGTGATTAGGTACGTGGTCAACAATGTAATGTTTCTGCTATCAACATTATGTTTTTTAAGGCCATTAGTTAAAATATATAAAATACACCTATTGAAATTTTGTGTTTCTTTTTACTAAATAATATTAACCTGTTTGCTTATTATCAAGGAAACAAATTCTTTGTAAAAATGAGAAGAATTAAACACGAAAAGACATAATACTCACGTTATATATTTGTGCTAAAACACTTTCAATGATAACCATTAGTAAATGCCGCAGGAATCAGGGGTCCCTGAAAAAAGAGAAATGAAAAACATTAACAATTGCGCTGATAATCTAATAAATATTTAAATTAAAACGAAACAAGGGACATATCAATATTAGATCATTTTCGACATTTAATATCGATCCTCAAAGTCTTAATTGAGCGGCAGTTTAAACCGTTCACTGGAACATTAACCTCTCTAGGGGCAGATTTAAAGGTAGTAAGTTTGGTACTCTCAGTCGATAGAGCGGTAGCGAGCTCCGTGGCCAACAAAATAAAAACAACGAGTGGATGAGTTAGAGCTATTCCGCCTGTGGCACCGCTCTCGAGCGGTCGCGTCTAGGTAGTCCGCACATCCGTCCCCGTACGGTAGTGCTCTCTCGCTCTCGCGCCTCCGCTGTCCTGCTCGCACTGTACAGTGCGACGCCTGGTGAGTCCTTTTTCGCTAACTCCAGTTATTACCTCCCTGTCTCCGGGCGGGGCGGTTTGACTGTTGGTCTTGCTTGTTATTGTTATTTTTATTGTTAATTCTTTTGTTAACTATTTCTAATTTTGTTTTCGTTATTTATTTGTATAACGTGTACGTGTATATACTGTTTCTAGGGAGTTACTTGCTCTTTTCAGAGCAAGGCCCTGCTCTTTTGAGAGCAGGGGCACTTACTCCTAGAATTAAGAACGTCCCGTTCTTCTCAGAACGGTGATCCCGCCCTTACTGTTTAGGTACATAACGTCTCTGTTCTTTTCAGAACAGCACCCACTAGCCCCTTCCGTATCAAATACGTTTCGTAAAACTACTGCCCTCAACATGTCCACAATTACCCAAATCAAGTCCCTCGTCGCCGCCCTAAACCAAACTCTTGGTCTGGGCCTAAACCTCGATGAGACGGCCCTTGCCGCCATCGCCGCCCATGTTACTCCCGCTGCCCGTCAGGCACTCCAACCGCCGCCCGTACTTGCGGCCTACCTAGAGACAAAGAACTCTTTCGCCCCATTAGAAATGGAGTACGCATGCTCCGAGTCCTCTGCATCGGCCTCCCGGAAGAGGCCCGCCACCAATTCTGGCACCGGCTCATCGGAGTCCTGTGACTCCGACGGAACCGGGGATTCTTCGTTCACCACGGTGAACTCCAAGCGCAACGGTAAACGCGCCGCTAAAAACCGCACCCTCCCTGTCTCAGCGGCCCCTGCCGCTCCTTCAACCTCCGCAGCTCCCGCTGCCGCCTCTGCCCCCGCAGCCCCCGCCGCTGCCTCAGCCCCACTTATGTCACTAGACATTCCCGCTCCGACCAAGCCAGCCTCTCGCTGTGCTCCAGTCCTTGCCAAGAAGCAAGTCCCGCCCCCTGTCTTCCTAAGAGACAAGGCTAAATTCACAGAACTCTCCAAAACCTGCTACAACGCAGGCATAAAATATGACCACGCCATCAACCTCGGGGAAGCTATTAAGATCATCCCCCAATCAATCGACGACTTCCGGCGACTCACCAGGCTATTCACAGCCGAACGAGTTTCTTATCATACATACGCTCTTCCGGAAGAGCGCAAAGTCAGGGCCGTCATCCGCGGCGTCCCCTTCGAATTTTCAAACGAAGAAATCCTTGAGGACCTTAAGTCCCAAGGTTTCCCCGTAGAAGCCGTGCACAAAATGCACAGTAGAACAGGCCAGAGGTTCTCTCTTGCCCTAGTAATTTTAACCAACGTGCCGGAGGCGAAAGCCATCTTCCGGCAGGTACGCACAGTGTGCGGCCTGTCGAGAGTGAGGGTTGAGCCTCCACATAGGCGCGGGTTCCCGGCGCAGTGCCACCGCTGCCAGCTGTATGGTCATGCGGCGGCCAACTGCTCCGCCCCACCCAGGTGCGTTAAGTGCCTTGAACCCCACAACACTAAAGAGTGTCCTCGGCCCAAAGACGCCGAATCCCCACCCGCGTGTGTCCTGTGTAAACAAACGGGCCACCCGGCTAACTACAGAGGCTGCCCTTGCGCACCTCATCCTCGCCCCAGTAGGCAAGCTCCACCGCCGGTCAATGACCGCTCATTCCCGGCTCTTTACCAACGGATGCCCCGTCAGGGCCTTTCTCAGCCCACCCAGGGCTTCTCTCGACCCTCTCAGGGTCCTCCTAGGCCCCCTCAGGGCACTATTCGGCCCCCTCCGGGCTTCTCTCAGCCTATGCAGCCTCCAGTTTTTCCCTGGGGCCCCAAAAAGGCAGTACCACCGCGGACATCCTCCGCCCCTCAACCACAACAATCACAGCCCTCAATGGCTGATGACCTAAAAACGGTGTATTCCGCAATTAGGAACATCAACGTTGAGGAAATCGCTGTGTTAGCACGCAAATTGCGCGCTGCGAGGTCCCCTCAGGACCGTCTCCTCGCTCTTGCAGAGCATCATAATCTTTTGTGCTCATTGTAAGTTAAGTTAACTTAATTAATTTAACTCACAATGAAAGAGCAGTTTGCTCTACCAAAATCCCACGGTCGTATCAAACCTAAGGGTTTATCGCTTGTATCCTTTAACATTCGCGGTTTGCGAAATAACCTCCCAGAGCTTAAGCTCTTTCTTCAAAATCGTGAAACCGATTTCCTCCTCCTACAGGAAACTAATCTCAATACTAAGGACACTAAAGGCCTTTCCATCAAAAACTTCTCTCTTCTTCGTAATGATAGACCCGACCGCCGAGGCGGCGGTACGGCCATTTATTACAAGAAGACACTCCACTGTTCTCCCATTTCTACTCCGCAACTTTCCAACATGGAAGCCACGGTATGCAGGCTAGCTATGACTGGACATCAGTCCATCTTCATAGCCTCCTGTTACATCCCTTCTAAAACCCTTCCCCTCAAAAAAGATTTTGAGGCTATTTTATCTCTAGGCAATTCAGTCATTATGTTTGGAGATTTTAACTCCAAGCATACTGAATGGACATGCCGTACTACCACCCGTAGTGGCAAGTTACTGCTCGATATCACGCAGTCTCTTGATATTACCGTCCACAGTCCTCTCGGTGTTACTCACTTTCCCGATAACACCGACTATGCCCCCGATGTACTAGATTTTGCGTTACTCAAAGGAGTTTCTCTCAACCTTAGGGCAATCGAGACACTAGACGATCTAGGATCCGACCACCGACCGGTCTCTCTCATTCTTGGCCATCAGCCACCACTCCCAACACCCTCTACTAAAACCTTCACAAATTGGAAGGGCTTCAAGGAGTCCCTAGCGAAAGCTCTGGACTCACAGGACTCCCCCATCTCCCTATCTTCGGACTTAGACAGTCCTGAAAAAATCGACACCGCGGTCGATTCACTCTCCACCCTTATTAAAACCTCCCTTAAGGAGAATGAAAGGGTCGTCCCGGTTGCTAATAATAGTGGGCTTCCCCTGCATATTAGCAACCTATTAAAAGCCAAAAAAGCTGCTTTCCGGAGAGCAGCAAAATATCCCACGCCCGAATATAGGCGCACGGCCAATCGTCTTCAACGAGAACTCCGTTTCCGCCTCTCTGAATTTCGAGACCTCGAAAAGAGTAAGCTCATGGAGAATATCTCTCCCTCTCATACAGCGTACTATCAGATGGCAAGAGCCCTCCGCATAGACGCTATCTTCCACACTCCCCCTCTCTCCCGTCCCGACGGTACGGTAGCCTTCGAGGACGAGGAAAAGGCTGAGTGCTTTGCAGACAGCATTGCCGCTCAATGCTCTCCTAGCTCTCAACCCGTAGACCCCTCACACGTCCAGGCAGTGGAGGATGAGGTCCGCCGCCGGAACTCGCCCCCTACAGCCTCCGAACCTATCTCTGTGTCCAATGATGAGCTTTCATCCCTCATCAAAGGACTTAAGCCTAAAAAGGCTCCGGGCGCGGATGGCATCTCCAACCAAGCCCTAAAAAACTTTCCTGAGCAGGTGCTAACCCTTTTATCTATTATCTTCAATGCCTGCTTCAACCTTAGTTACTTTCCCACTACGTGGAAAGAGGCAACTGTGATTGGTATTCCCAAGCCAGGCAAGCCTCTTAATCTCCCCTCCAGTCATCGTCCCATTAGCCTCCTCAAGGCCATGGGCAAGCTCTTTGAAAGAGTCATTCAAAATCGCATGAGGCGCCATCTGTTTCCCACAGACGGTGACCCTCTTATCATTCCCCATCAATTCGGTTTCCGAGCGAAACACTCCTGCCCCCAACAAGTTCACCGTATTGTGGAATATATCCTCAGCGGTTTTTATCCCCGTCGTCATAAGACTATCGCGGTCTTTTTCGACATCGCCAAAGCCTTCGATAGAGTCTGGCATACAGGCCTTATCTACAAACTATACAAAATAGGTCTCCCCGATCGTCTAGTACGTCTCGTGGCCTCTTATCTTAATCATCGTACCTTTCGTTTTAGACACGAAGGCACGCTATCTTCACAGCGCCCCATCAAAGCTGGTGTCCCTCAGGGCTCAGTTCTTGCTCCTCTGCTGTACATACTGTTCACCAACGACATTCCCATTCCGCCGAAAGGTGTTCAGCTCTCCCTCTTCGCAGACGACACTGCTCTCTACTGCAAAGGTATCTCGCTACCTTTCATACGGAACAAGGTCCAAAAGTCAGTTGATGACCTAGGAGCTTGGTTCAAAAAATGGCGCATCGATGTGAACCCGGAGAAGAGCTCCGCCGTTCACTTCGATTATAAACGACGCCGTCTCAAAAACACTCCACCAATACGTATGCTAGGGACCCCTGTCCCCTGGCATACGTCTGCCAAATATTTAGGTGTCACTCTAGACACAGGGCTAACTTTCAGGCCCCACGTCAAAAGAGTAACCCGTCACGCACGTTTTTACCTGAATAGGCTCAACAGTATGTTGGGCCGACACAGTAAAATGTCCCTCAGAAACAAGCGTACCCTTTATAAGGTCTGTATACGACCAGTCATGTCCTACGCGGGCCCCATTTTCGCCCACTCTAACCCTAAAATTATTAATGAACTCCAAGTAGTTCAAAACCTTTTCTGTCGTCGAGCTGCGAACGCACCTTGGTACGTCCGCAATGCCGACCTTCATCGGGACCTAGAGCTCCCTACAATTCAACAATTCCTTAAAAAACTCTCTGAGAACTTCTTCAAAGCCTCAGAGTCGCATTCCAATCATTTTATTCGTGAGGCTGCTAATTATGCAGCCCCACTCCCCTCCCGCTATAGCGTCCGCAGGCCGAGGAACTCCCTCTCGGACCCGCCTAATAAACTTTCAAACGACCTGAACTGCCTCCTGGCGGCTCAGGCCAACTCTAATTAAGTTATTCATAATTAATTTGCCTTCCCAGGCACTCCCTCAGCGGCTTATAGCCGCCTGCGCCCTCTTTTCCCAAAAGAGGGTCGCTTTACGATACGGCATGTGAAGCTTTCAACAGCTGGTTGCCAGTCCCCAAAGGCAGTTTTTAGAGGGTATCACTTAGGTTCCCCCTTGTAGGTAGTGAGTCCCTCATAACCACGATGGACCGGCCATCGTGGTATGCGTAATGCATTTTCTGCCTCCCTTCGGGGTAGCCCTTTTCCAATTGCTTCGGGCGCAAAAAAAAAAAAAAAAAAAAAAAAAAAAGAGTTAGAGCTACGAGCGACCGCTCGGCAACGGTAATTGTACCGCTTGTTCTTCTTGATTTACGATTATTGCCTAGGGGCATTCCCGTTACCTAATAAGACAGTTTTATACACGAGAACCACATACGTTAAGTTTGTCTGGACCAACTGAGCGACTCTGTCGTTCATTTTCTCATTAGCGACGCATTTGTTTCCGACGGTAATTATGAGATATAGTCAGCTGATACATGATAAAGGATTCGCCTGCAAATGTTGCTGATACGGATTTAGGGAATCTTGCGTAAATTTATTGTTGTGAAATTTGATTTTTTTTTGTATATAAAAAAACATTGGTATGAATCAAAATTGTATATTTTATTTTAAAACACCAAAAGAATGCCGCAATAACGGATATTACGCTAAAATAATTTTGTGAAAAGGAAATAAAAGATTGAATGATCTTACTGATAGAGTATGAAAAATATTTGAGAGATGCGAAGGCAAGAAGAGATTTGCTAGAGGTGGCTACGGTGGCGGGCGTCGACAAGCAATGAAGACTGATGGCGTCTTAGGAAAGCAGTTATGGAGGTCTTTCGCAGTTTTAAAAAGCCATTATTCCCGGCACTGCACCGTGTATATTACCGTCGCGTTTGCCCGCCGTACTCATATTTCGGAATATACTTTATAATCGCATCTCTTGCGTTTTACTTGTTCACTAACTTATAGTGATTATGCTTTAAGGGCGTCAAGGAAGATCGGTTTCATAATGAGATCGGAACGTCTCGCTAAAATTTTAGAGCGTCGTCGGCTGCTAATTGCATCTACGGTACTCGTCGCGCACTCCTAGCTGACCTAGACATTTTGCACTGAGCGAACACCAAATTTTATTACAATTGACTGCTTACTAATAGTATCGTAAAATGAAATTGTCCCAGAAAATAAACATTATTATCTCTCTTCTTTTTTTTTCATTTCTGATACTATGTAAAAGGAATTATAACATCTCGTCTTGCAAATCAAAAGTTCAAGGAAAACAAAACAAACATTAATTTGAATTCCATGACAGTTGAAACTTCTCGAACAGGACAATTTCGCGAATTGTCCTCATTTCACTGAAATAGGCATTTTTGAAGATGACGTTATAAATGAAAAAAGTTACAATCGAAAGTTAATAAGTTTATTCCATTCATCACAAAATAAATTAGCTTGAAACTTTTCTTTTATCCACTCGGTAATATTCTTTTTTCCTCAATACGGCAATATTGAAACATTTTTGTAACTCTATGAATAGCGTAAAATTGAACAAAATTCAAATGAAATTAGTATAAGAAGTAAACACTTCACCAATTTGCGACATGCACACACACACACACACACACACACATTACGTTTTTTTGTTATAGGATAACGGTGACAAATGAGCACACAGTCCAGTCGTAAGCGGTAAGTGGTTACTGTGGCCCATAGACATTTACATCTATACTCGATTACAAATCAAAATGCATATGCGTTGTCACCCGTGAGGACTAAGATAGAATGCCTTATTTCCAGTAAAAAGCGTCTTCGGTTCTCTACACTTACGACACGAAACACAGCAGCGTTAAGCTGTTATTTTACGCTGGTGTTCTGTGAGGGCGTGGTCCTTCCCCTGTCCAGCCGACCCATTCGTGCTACAAGTATACTACCAATATAACTGCAGCATGGCTCTACCATGTAAAGAAGTCTACATAGGTAAGTAAGAAGTTGGCTTTACATTAATCATTAAATTTATACAATAAAAGTAATGGTTATGGTAACTCACTGGGGTGTAATTGAGGGGCGCGCGGCTAACTGCGATCGCAGGGAATCCGGAGGGCTGGGGGCTGGCGGCTTGCACATAGCCCACGCTGTCAGCCGCGGAGCCGTACACATCGATGGCAGGCCCCGGTGAGCTGGCTGCGGGGAACCCGGCGCGCCCGCCTGCAGCGTGCGGCGACGCTGGCGGCCCGAACCCGGCTGCTGCGGCTTGATAGTTGTTCATCACTGCGAACACATCACAAAAATATAATTTAAATTTGCCGTTGTTGTCACTTGGTGAAACACCAGCTTCATTTAATTATTAAATATAAGTTATATAATTAAAATAAATATAACATAAAATGCAAGGACCAGGTCTTTTGAACTTATTGTCACTATGCTTTGACTGTCATAATATATTGAATAAATGACAATAAATAATAGTTCATTCGGTGATTGATTCACTTGGAACTACATAATTTTATTATTATATATTTTGATAATATATTAATATATTATTTGTTACTAATGCATTATTATCATCAATATATAAATTAATTAATTAATATTATATAGGAATAATTTAAATTTAGAAGAAATTTAATAAAAATAATAACACACTCTCCGTTTCTCTCGCCTTCTTTTGCTGTAATATATAATATATAGCCAGAGTAAAAATTGTAGTTTTTGAAATAGATTAAAAAAGTCTAGTCCCAGATTTTAAATGTAGAAGTTTTTTTCCAATTACACACGCTTGTTGACTCACAATGTAATGTCATTTTACGTATTTAAGCATAACAAACCCAAACATTTTTCGCGTAAATTGTAGTGTCGTGTGATTTAAGTGTACTATGGAAAATGAAATATGTATGAACTATATGTTTGTTTAATGTTGGTATGTTGCTGTGGATTATAACGTATGTTATGTGCTTCGGCGGCCTCACCTGAGAGCGCCTGCGCGAGCAGCGGTGTGTTGTTGTTCGGTGTGATTTGGCCGTTGGTCAGGTCAACTGCAAACATACACATGATTCGCATTCTCTCCATGGACGCAAGTTACACGCAATCCGTTAGTAACAGCCCACTAACATCCATGACTGAACCATCAATATTATGTTATTGCAACGCTACTTCGCATATTTATTTTATTTATTCTCCATCGTCCCTTCCTATCAGAAAGTTACTATTGACATTTTCAACTTAATCCACAACTCCCGATGATAAAGTTGAAACGCGTAAAAGCATGAATAACTTAACTAAGAGAGACCACGGAGACGGCAGATAAAGACTACGCAGATACAGATTATGTCACAAGAAAAAAAATCACGTATGTCACGTGCATTCAAATGAAAAACAGAGCTAGAAGTTTCGTGGGTATAAATCACGGAGGATGAAAAAACTTTTACAAAATATCCAGTAAATTATCCGACGTGAGTTCCCGCTGGCACGCGGTGGTCTGCTTATTGAATAGGGACCGGCATTAGCATACGCTGCACGTCGCAGCAGCTTGACGCCTCCCGCTTGTGGCTATTCCGCCCCGCTCGTCATCCTGTTCTTGCTTTTAGTAGACACTGATTTTCTTTGCTAATTTGTTTAGAAATTTCAGCTAGTATATCAGTTTTCGAGAAAGAAATTATTTGTTCAAAAATGAAACATACCAATATCAAGTTACGGATATTGATTTAGTATATAGCAAATAGTGCGGCGACATTTATGGAACTATACGTAGCAAGCAGGGCATGGCGCCTGCTTTAAATTTCGCGTAGTACGCGGGCACCCCACGTTTCATCCCAGTTGCTTTAAGAGCTGATTTACCACTTGATAGGTGGTTGGGGAGACATTGTAAAGAAACTATTAAAAATAATTTCGAGGACATGCGAAGTTTGACAACCTGCATTACACTGTCCGGGACAGAGTGGCAGAGAGCTCCAAAACTCTCATAGAAATAATAGGAAGCCTACTCGTATTCCCAATAGTAGGACGTATGTAGGCTGTTATTTTACTTAAGTAAAAATAAAATTTGTTGAAATTAAATGAAATTCTAAATGGAAAAGCGTAATTGAAAACGAAAAGATTAATTTTTGTAACTTTGTGCTTGATCATAGTGTCACCATTAGCCCTATTGGCTTGCACGACAAATTTTATATTTTTCAGATGTGCAAGTTATGATTTAGTGTGAAAAATGAAGGACCGCGGCCGCACCAGGTGATTACCGGCCTGGGAGTGACTTTGCGAAAAAGTACAACATAAGTAATGGAGGATGAATGATAGATTACTTCGCGGGTAGCCGTCTCACGATCGCTCTCGCTCTAGCTCACTGGCCAGTACAGAAATGCTGACACACTTTAATAACATTACGTTGCGACGTGAGAGGCTATTTGAGGGTCATCCCGTAACAAAAAAGAATTTGAGTTGTAACACAGACACGTCTACCAATCGTTAATGTACTGGTACTTCATTCTTTCTCCATTACTATTGAAAGCTTCCAATATGATACGCTTTGTAGTCAAACTGCCTACGTATTTTAATATCTATATTATTTAACGCATCTAACATATCTCTCATATCGAAACATGTAATTAATATAAAGCTATCATATAAACGCGATTTTGTTTCCGGATGCCTTCAATTTCACTTTGCAGTTCAGTTCACAGTGAACAAAGTCACAAACAGACGCAACTAAACTTGCGCTTCAGGCGTGTTCCTGACCTCAAATAATTTACGACTTCAACAATTCACTTAACAGCCAAACAGTGTGAGTATAAACTACACAGATATCTTTACGGGTCGTATCTGATTCGGACGTAAACATCCTAGGGTTTGAGTTAACAGTATATCGTCGTAGAATAACATATAATATACAACTCCCTAATTACGTTTGATGAAGAACATTAACAGAAAAAAGTTAAATACGTAATCGGATTGCAAATACATATGAAATACAGAGCAGGTTCCCAATTTTATCATCTTGTTTATTACGGACTACGACCTTTTTATAGGAGGAAGTGTAATTCGCACCCTAAGGTGGTCCGATCTCACCTCGAAAGGGAAGCACACATTCATCTATAAATTCAGCTGCCGTCTTGAGAGAGCTATTCGAACTTTCATAATTGCGAAGTTCGAAGAAAGTTAATAATTCTTCTTCAGAAGTAGGATGACGGCCGTGCGAAATATTCACGGAGCGTAGTAGCGCTGAGACCCACCCTTCATGCCCGAACAAGTAAATTACGCGTTACTTTTTATGTTTTATCTGCATTCTATTTTACTCTTTCAGAAATAAAGTCATATTTTTGAAGATTATGTCTTCAAGTAGTATAAAAAGAAATGTAACTGAATTTGTCTTATGTATTAATTAATCTACCAGCCGATAAATTTAGATTAAAGTGTTTAGTATAGGTAAACTATATTTTATAGAAGATTTTTATCCGACTCAAAAAAGGGTTCTCAATTTTTTTATGTTTTTTTTTAAATGATTCTATTTAATAACTATTGAATTCTTCAGGGTTAGTTCCATACAAAATTGAAGAAAAAACTCTATCTCTAATGATGAGGATTTTAATGTAACTATTTAGATGGCATTACACCATTGAAGAGGATAAAAGAACTCTCAAAAAAAAAGTACAAACCGACTTCTAAAACTAAAACTAATAAATAATTTCTACATCGTCATTTCTGAAGTCGGGGGTTTAATTCCTCATTAAACTGTCTAATCACCGACTTTAGAAGTATAATATGGAAATATTTTTTTTTGATGTCAGTTTTTACTTTTCTTTTAAATTTAAGTTTAATATTTTCGAATTATGGAGTATCATATCAAAAATATTTTGCATAAATACGTTTGGCACGAGTCTTTTTCTTCGGTTTTTATTAAATAACGTGTAACCCAAAATAAAATAGTTATAATGATGTACTATGGACTAATGTAAGACAACATTTTTGAAACTGTTAGAAGTTTTGACAATACTAAATAGGCATTCGTAATTTCTATTTCATTGATAACTTTAATAGTTTTATTACAATCTGTATAGTTTGTGGTAAATAAGAAGTAAAAATGAAAATAAATAAGTTAAAGCAACCCCAAGTAAAGTTTGGTAGAAAATATCCACATCACTAACGAAAAAGTTGAGCATTCACATCATTCAACTACGAGATCCCAATACTTCATTTTCCACTTGGCGAATGGAAATATTTTATATCAGTGTTTACGAGAGTCCTGGTTCCACACACATACATAGATGGTAGCAAAGAAAACGTATTTTTAATAGGTGCCATCAATAACTTGCGTTTAAGATGATACGCTTTTGGAGGATGCCGATCGTTTATCAATAGGGAGTTATCAAAATTACAAATTAATCGAGTATTTGTGCTAACACTTGCTGGTCAACATGACGTACTATTTAATCAAAAATTTGACATTCAAAGACGGCTCCGTGGTGCAGTGGCTTAGAAATGAGCTGCAGCGCTAAGAGCTGCGAATTCGAATCCCGCGCGGAACAAGTATTTGTATGGCCTACTAATAATTGTTGCGGGTCTAGGTGTTTGTCCTTGTGAAATTTATGTATGTAAACTGAAACTCACAATAACAAAACTCAAACTCACTCACTCTCTCCCTCACGATACAGGAGAAAATCCTCATATGGAGGTAATATTAAGTTTTATAAAAAAAAAAGGAGTGAGAACGAGTGTTCACGAATTTCTCAGGAATTAAGTACTGTATATTTCGTTTCGAGTTTGCTCTTACATTGATATGATCAATGTCATAAAGCTTCATTAGCAGATGGTTCAATCATGGTCAAGAAAATATTACCAGAGAAAACATTTAAAGCACATTTAAAAAGCATAATTAAAATTTATAAACACATCTGAAAAACAATGTTTGAGAAATCCAAATTTATTATCTACTAATAACTAAATTTTGAATTTATTGAAATTTTCTACAAAGTTTATTTAAATTTATTTTACTTTTAAGACTCCATTAAAATCTACATGATCTACGGAAAAAATAATTTACTATTCTATTAAAATTGAATATGGCTAAATAATAAATCTAATTGCACTGATTTTACATGTATAAACCATATAAGAATTTACGCTTTTCCTATGGAAATACAAGTTATTATTACTTAAAAAATACTATTCTAGATATTTTTTCTTAAAACTAAATGTTGTTATTAATAAATACAACTAAAAACGAGATTGCACCACCCAACGCATTATAATTTACCACATAATTTCTATCTATACGCTTACATTTCTACCTACTAAAGTATATCATTAGAAAGCGGTAATTAATTCACCAAAGTTTTCAAAGTCGCTATCCTACAAAAACTGATACAATATCAATCGCCTCCACAGTAGTAAATTACTAGACTATTTATAAATCCGCTATAATATTTAGTAACGGTCAGATTGAGACTACGAGTTGAGACTTACTTATTTTCTCTTTGACCTTCTAATTCACTCGTCTAATCTAGCAGCTATTAATATTTATCTATTTTGTCTAATACATTTTTCAATTTCATTTTACTATGTAATTTCTACCACACTGTATTCGTAATGAAATTTTTTACAATAAACAACCTTAGAGGCCATGTTGCCTACTCTATACTAAGTTGTCAAATTGGCATAGAGCGGATTAAATTACAGATATGTTCAAAAATAAATTTACTCGCCCTATTGATGCTGTAGACGTCACACTTCTTTCACCAAACACCTGTTACTTCTTGCATGGTAACACTTAAGTTTCATATTGTGATTATATAGTGACTAAAATGCACTAATTCAAATTACGGAGTACAGTCCTTTGTCCCCAATAAATTTAAGTGATTTATAGATAAAATATAAAATAATCTTAACCATTTTGACATGCAGAGGAGAAAAGACGTACTACTTACTTGTGCACTGAATCGTTTGTCAGAAATTCGTGCTTAAATTGATATAATCTAGAAGAGATTAGTATGCTAATAGAACAGATTATATGGTCCTCCGGACCCATTTATCCACGGTAAATTTC